GAACTTCAAGTTACTGTCATTGGTATCGGCTGGGATCCAAACCATATATCTATCAAATAAGTAAGAAAATCTCAATATGTAAATATAAAAAGTAAAGTGTAATTAAAATACAAACAACAGCTACTGAAAATACAGTCCTTCATTTGTGTTTTCTTAGACTGTAGGTACTGGAATGATGAAATTATTAGCCTACAGGAAAGATTTTTATAAATTGTGTAATTTCTGACCTTCCGGTGTACAATATCAATATTTTACGTGCATCCTTAATAAACTTCCTAAATAATGTGAATAAGAAGAAGGCCTTTTTAACTAGCGCATTGAAGTACAGGCTTGCCGAGAGATTTATAAATCACACACCTGCAATTTGAACCTGCCAGCAATGCTCTTTAACATTAGAGCGTTTTGCTGCTCCTTTGTGTCATTAAGTCATGACCAATAATGGCACTATCCTTGTAGTGCTTAATAATTTCACACATTAAACACAAATGTTAGTACAATTTCTCAGGTTTCCATAATAGGAAGTGATCTTTGCAAGACCCTGAACCACACTTTGATTGTTACTTCTATTGTTGGAGTGTATCCAAATGGACCGAGGTCGAGGTTATAAAGTCGCAGGGGCCAAGGCCACCCGCATAACACGTTTTGTTATTAAAATAACGGGGACAAGGAAGGTCCAGCCAGTCTGTCAATTGCACAGTCTGTTAACTGACCAAGTATTTCGTATATTGAAACAGCTACAGAAGACGTAAGACAAGGAAATTAAATTTACTTTGCGACACAACTTATTTTATCAGCCATCTTAAGAATGAGGATCTTTTCCTACGACGTTTTTCCCAGGCCCTCTGATGGAACTGTCGTTACCAAAAACAGGTGTGTGGGTTGCGTCAAGAAGTTTTGCAGCACAGGGTCACTGGCTGGAGGTCACCAGAGACCTTCTACAATAATAACAACACGTACTGGCGCCAACAATGTGCGGCATGACCAACAAGACAACTGGTCTCTGTGAACTGTTTCCAAGCAACGGTCTGAGATCACGCATTAATCCAATCCTCACTGTTGTTCTGAACGGAAGACGCGATGTCTCATCGAAGTGGCCTCATCCTGTGTGATCTAACAGCCTCGTAACTGAAGTTTGTCTGGTATCTTACTTTAATAACGCACTTGCGTGTTTAACAAAGACAAGCAGGATTCGGCGTCCAAAGAGTCTAGTATTGACGTCAGACTGTGTCGGACATGCAAAGACGCCGTAAATATGAAGACACGAACTAGTGATTAAGACGATACGTGGTTATTATGCAATAAATAAGTAGATAGATAAATTATAATAAATTTTTCGTTGCAGCTAACGAAGTACATTTATTGTGTATATTTGCAGAGCACAGTAAATGTGATATATTCTCGCGGGGACAAGTTTACAGATGCGATGTTGTGCCGTGTAGTCTTGTAGAAAGCTGCTGATATATCAGAGGATCATACTGCCTCCATCATTAGGGCAGTCGCTCTGATGATGAAGGCAGTAAGTATGTCGATGAATTTCTATCAGACTACACGAAGCAATATCTCACATGAGAGTCATCTCCAAATAATACAGCATGTCTGCATGAAAACCAGATCTGCGAGGTATCACCGCCAGGAAATAATGTTTACAGCATTGACAACATACACTTCCTTGTCTGCTACCCCTTCACCTCTCGGAGCCCTTTGACACTTACTTCTAACAACAAAGGCGCAGATTCGCCCCGACTATTTTAATTCTCCACCCCCTCTCACTTTATTTATTTATGATCCGTTTTAATATCATCCTCCCAGTCATTTGCCTATGCCTTCCAAGCTGTTTCTTCTATTTCCTATTATCATATTTAGTGTATAGGCTATATTAATTTTGGCCAATTGTGCCTTTGTAGCCCTTCAGATATTAATCTGCCGAAGGTGGAACCTCAAAATAGGGCAGACCGAGAGAATGTCGATGTAAAATTAACTGTACATGACTCCACACTTTCTTAATTATCTCTCAGATCTTACGGTCCAGCCCTGGTCCTTCAAACGTTTCAATGCCTTCTGAATAACAATAGCTTCTCTGCCGTAACAATGTCTCGGGCTGCCGTGTCTGCTCTACTAGTACCTACGCAAGTGTCCATTTTAACTGAATACCAACCATTCATACGAAGCATGACCCACTAGCAGCTTGTTCTGACCGTCATATTTCTCATATGACACTTTTAATACCAGGCATTGTTTTCTTTTATATTTACTGAACTGAAGGCGACATTAGAATATGTCAAGTGTTGGGAATATATACAAGAATTGGACGTCCTCTGTATGGGGGATTAGCAACAAAATGCATACGAATTAGTCAGATAAGATATAAGGAACAGAATACGCATCTTAAAACCTGTTTCTGGGTTTTATACTTAAGGACACTCTCTCAGCTGCAGAGATTCTCGAATGAGGTAGGAAAGTTACCAAAATTATTAAGAGGAATTTAAATCAGAAAGTTGCCAAGCCATCTATTTGAACTTATCGCCTCGAATTTCGCTCTAAACAGAAAACACAGAGCCTCTTGCCTGTCGTTATGGCAGGCAAGAGGAGAGAAAATTTCACCCGCTTAACGAGGATGTCAACCTGAGTGAAATCTTTTCTGACGTCAATTAGGGCAGGAACTCCACTCAGTCAAGATTTTCCTCTCACCCTAATGGCACGTTAAGGGACTGCTTCGAACACGGGCTTAAGCAAGACGCAAAGGGAGTACAATGATTTCTGACATAACAGCAGAGGTGAAGCATTTCTAACAGAAAGGTGGTGTGCAAAACGAGCTCCACAACTTGAAATGCTCCAAAAACATTAGGGTAACCAAATCAAGGAGGCTGACATTTGCGAGAGACGTAGTTATCACGCATGGCAGAGATGAGAAAACGCGTGGTTTGCAAGATTATTACAGGGAAACCTAAAGGGAAAAGATCACTTACGACAAATACGAGCTGTAGTAGAATAATATTAAAATGGATAGGAGCATATTTTTAGGTTATGTTCCATCCAACTAGCTCCATGGAGGATAGTAATTCTTAAGAAGCTGATAGTACGCTCAGCTAGTCAAAAATTCGACGCCTTGTAGAACCCGAAGGTTCAATGCCGTGTTCGTAAGAGCCCGCCACCTGTCTCTGTCCTGAGCCAAATAAATCCAATCCCCCTCCTCCTTTGCTCACGATGGCACATGGCAATAAATGCGCAGAAGCAAAACAGTGTGGTCACTTTGGTAGCATTTAGTGAAGAGTTGTTCCATCAAGTGTATAAAGTGACTGAGGAAAACCTCAAATCAGTCACTCAGGAAAGTGCTCTCCGGGAAGATTCACAACCGAAGCCTCTCAAATACGAAGTAAATCCCAATGACTACTTCACGAATTTAGATGTCATTCTAAATAACCACAAAGTTTCATTGGGAAGACGTACGCAGTTCCAGTCGCCATGTTAAAGAAGAAAGGGTTCCTAAAGCCATGTAGAATGCCACGCATACGAAATCAGTATTCCAAACGCAGACGACAAGCTGATGGAATTCAAATGGAAACAAAGTAGGCCTATTAAGAAGTTTACCAGGAATTTCCTTTGTAGCAAATTACCATACTGAAAGTGAATACCAATTTATTTCAGCCATAACTGATATATTTAACTTAGATGGAAGAGAGTGGTCCATGAAACCGACAACAGATAGCTTCTGATTTGAGAAGCATGCAAGCGGCAAGTCGTTTCGACCATTTTGGGCGGAGACCTCGCAGACCTGTCACGTCTCTGTAAGCAATAACACTCAAATCCTTTAAGTTGTTCTGGCACGCAGAACATAACAGACAAATTTCATCCTCTTTTCCTCGACATAAGATGCTAGACGAAGCAATAATTTGTGATGGAGGCAACTGGAATAAGTTTGGTCCGATCACATCTCTGAGCCACGGACTTCCTTCTCCAATTCTAAAATAATTCCTCAGGATGTTAAAAGTTGTGTCGTTTAATGCAATACCCATTTCAAAATGTTTTCTCAACTGAAGAATAAAAACCCTACAAATTAACATCCACGAATATATGCTACATATTTTTATTACCATCAACATTACGACCGAACCTCACGGGCGAAATGGTTAGTACGCCACTCTTGCTTCAATTCGGGATGTTTATAATTCAAATCTCGTCCCAGAGTATCTGCTACTCCGACAAAGGTTTCTGTCGTTTTTCTCAGACCCTCCCGTCAAATTCTGGGGTAGCAGACAAACTTTACGTTAAGACATGATCGCTTGCTTCCAATTCACCGATCATTAATCATCCTATCATCTCAGCTACTACAAACGTCATTAAATAAATAAGCAGGCCTAAATCAATAAACCACCATCATCACCGTATCTCTGTGATATTTGAAGTTCTCAAGGCAGTGCCTATGAGGATGGCTGTCTTTTGGGTTGTTGCATTATCCCTGATGATGAAGGCAGCACGTCGCTAAACTTCTACGAGACCATACGGCTCAACAACACAGAAGACAGCCATCATCATAGCAATTTTTGTTTTCCATGGACTGGAAATCTGAATCTTTACAGTTCCTATGTCTGCCATCTTCAAATATAGAAGTCCCTCACTGATGAATCCGCCAACGACTCTACTCTCTGTTCTGGAAATCTTTATAGATCCACTAAATTTCACAAGCTAAACCTAACTTCCGCAAAAAGAACTAAGCATTACTTCAATAAACAAGACAACATACGAACATTCCCTTTTAAAAGGAGCAAACATATTATTGACTTTCACAACCTGTGAGATTCGAACCAGTACACTACTTACTGTGTACTGTTTTGCATGCCTTACTGTGCAATGGGTCTCCGCCAGCAACACAGCTGGGGAGAACGGCCTTTATTGAAGCGTGTATGTGGATTTCCAAACGGAATAAGTAATTCTCACCCACCTACAACCAACATCAAGTCTGCATTGAATTGGAAAGTTCTAATTCTCTACTAAATGTGCACCTTAACGAAACTCGTAATATGCTTCATGTCCCGACCTTCCTCGCGTGGCGGGTGAAAGGCGAGATCCATATTCAGACAGCCGCCTTGAATCGATTCTGGCAGTTTTACGTTGACGTAGCGATTAACATGTGCGGTAAAATTGCTATCACTTGTTTCTTCAGTTGACTCTGCTCCCACGCGGAAGACTTTTTAATATCTACAAGGCACCTGTTACCTTGAAGAGAGAAAAATGTTGTGTTAGCAGTGTAATAAAACAGCTGCCTACTCCAAACTGTCAAGATATTTCAGGGCGTGCTTCGCGTTCCCTTCGGCTCGTTTAAAAATTATAACGTTCCGACGCCCATAATAAACTCAAGATTTAATTCTTAGCCAATAGAGCCTGCTGATTGAGAAAATAAAATGATCACCAACATGAACGGAACTCTCAGAACTGTCCAATATTTCCGGTAGGTTTTCTGTTACTTTCAGTAATTGTTTTTAAGACGATATGGGATTCTTGCTACTCACATTGAATCTACAAAGGAGGCTTTAAAACAGATAACGTACATTTGAACGTATCGGCACATTAAAACTAACTACGCGTTTAATTAATGGTACAAGTGGACGTTTCTATAAACACAGGAAAATATGAAACATTTATTATGATACTGCACAGCAAAATGTCACGTATTGTTTACTATGATTAGACATTTAAGTAAGTCCGCCAAATCAAATAGTTCACATTAGTGTAAAGCACAAATTCGTTACCAAAAAGAGCATTGGTAAACCCAAGTTCATCTTCCAGAGACATAACTGAAGGAAATGATACCACCGAAAACGACATTTACCACACGGTATAAACATCACGACACTGGATGCCACACAACCTTGGTACTTCTCTGTTTACTTCCGATCACGATGTGTGTTTATAAGACACCCTCTCAATTACTGAATGACTGATTTAAAAGAAATTTAGTTCGAACGCACTGTATGGCACTGGAGTCTATACTCCAGTGCCACACTCTTCATAGTTTCCTACAATCGGTAGTAAAAACATGGCGGACGAAGTTAATATGGGGTGCAGATCGATGTGTAATAATCATCGGAAAAATCTGCTGAAGTAATGTTGAGGTAATTTCTATGTAGACTGTAAAACAAACTCACGGAGGCTGCACGACATTTTTTTGTTTAGCTTTTGGTTAGGTGACGACTAATAAGCAATTGGAGCTTAACTTGACGAAAATTGGTACAGAAATACTCGTACACCAGAACTATACTCATAATCATTGTATGAAATTTTTAAACAGTTCCAAACATGGCGCCTTTTACTCACGTCCACCAAATTTGACGAAGGAAAACTGTGTATTTAAGCAAAGAGCTCTCCTCTCCAAAAAATAAATACTGCTACTGCTGCTGATGCTACTACTACTACTATTACTACTACTACTACTGATTATAATAATAATAATAATAATAATAGGAATAACAACCTGTAACACATTCATAATTGCGAGAAATAAGTTCTGACACGACCATGATTCAATCAGTAAGTCAAACGATTTTGATTCGCACATAGTAACTGAAGATTACGTGTAAATTTTCTTGTAAAATTTTTAAATATTTCGGATAAGACTAGTGCTTATTTGATTAATGGCCGTTACATAGTTAACTGTTACGAACGAATTTGTTAGCAAGGTGATGTCATGAACGTA